AAAAAGAGTATTTACTCTCACACTTTAACACACAAAGATCTCAGTATGAGATCACAACAAGACAAGACAGAACAAGAGCCAACATGTATTGAGCACTGACTGTTGGGAAGCAGTATACAGAGCTCCCTTTGAGCACCTCGCTTCGTCTTCCCAACAGTTCTGTGAGGCAGGGGTGGTTATGCCCATTTTACAGATGTGAAAGCTGAGGCTTAAATGACTTGCCTTACTCAAGCTCAGCACATGGATTTAGTGGCAGAAGCAAGGGCCCCAACCAAAGGGATCTGACCCCATAGTCCATGCTCTTGGCCAGCCTACGACACTGCCTCATTATCCCTTTCCCTGTTACCCACTGTTGCGAGGATTCAAAGGATGGTGGGGCAGGAGCGAAGTCTTCTTGGAGGAGGTGACCTTGTAGAATGAATGGGAAGGCAAGGCAGGACAGAAGCCTTCTTGGAGAAGGCAATCTTATAGAATGAATGGGAAAGGGACAGAGACAAAAGCCAGGCCAGGGCGGGGTCGCCTGGGGGGTGGTCTGACAATAGACTCTTATACCAATGTGGATCATTTCTATGCACTGATCCACAACCCACCCGGTGGGGCAAAAGAGCAGTATCTTGAGATGGGGCACAATATACATAAGCTCCTACATACAGGGCCTGAAGTCAGAGCTTAACTCTGCTTTTTACCAGCTGTGTGTCCCTGAGTAAGGTACTCACCCTCTCTGTGCCTCAGTTTTCCCAGCTATGAAAAGGGGCTAATAACAGTACCTACCTTAGACTGATGTGAAGATTAAATAAGGTGCTGCACACGAGGCGCTCAGCACAGTGCCTGCACATCATCAGCTCTCAACAAAGCTCAGCTATTTCTGTGGTTACTGTCGATATCTTTCTCATTCCACCATACTTCTTAGCAGTCCTGAATATTGGACTGTGGGGTTAATTTCTCCTTAAAATAAAACACCCTGGGAATTTGGACTCAGAGAATTTCAACATCTCAGAATCATTAAACATTAGATTCCTAGAATTATAGAACCTTCAAAACTTAGAATAAAATACAGTGTGAGCCAATAGAATTTGCAATATAAATTTCCCCCTCAATGCTGCCCTCCTCCTCTCTCTTTGGAGGATTAAAACTATTATTTTGTCAGATGATTCCTTGACTTCTACCCTCAGAAATATAGGAATTATATTTTTTTTGTCTCAAGAAAATGCATTTATGTTCCTTTTTCCCCCTCCCCTCTTTTCCTCTCTCCTGTACGGAGGATATGATGTGATGGGTAAAATATCAAGTGCAATAAGTCAAAATTTCTGACAGAAATAATAGAGCCCGCATCCATTTCCAGCCGTTCTCCAAGTGATAACAATTAAACCCCGGACAGTTTGAACTTTTTGCAAAGAATTAATGATGCATGTGAACACAGGGGGGAGAACAATTGCTAATAATTTATGAAGTCTTCGCTGGCTCAAAGTAGTAAGTTTGGTAAAGTGAGGGAGAAAGCTTTGAAACGTAAACACTTTGAAAAGCCATTCTGAGGATCTGCCCTGTCAATTGAGAATTTACTACATTCCATTAAACAACCTAAAATAACTTCTATGGTAATCACCCTTCAGATACAGGCGCCAGTGCCGACAAAGGTACTATTAAGTTAAATTACCCTAAAAGTGTTGGATTGACAGAGAGTTTCAGTCAATGGTTTGGAAAGCCGGGGTCCCTAAATGACACCAGCAAACAGATACTGATGTTCTGGGGTTGGAGAACTTGGCTTTACAAGACCTGGCGCTAACAGGATTTCAATTTGAGCTTTTAAATATTTCATGCTCCCCCTGCAGCTCTCAGGAGGAGGACTGTGGGATTCTCACACGTGGAGGCCAGGGCCCCTCCCTGCCTCACCTTTCTGGGCCAGGATTTGAAAGGTAGCTCTGGGTGGAAAAAAGCAAAGAGGCGTGTGGCAAGGACAGCTTGTCTCTTTGAGGGGAGAGGGGAGCGGTGAAGGGGGAATTTGCCAGCTGGGTTTGATTAGAGGAAGGAATTAGGATTCTCAGTTTATAGATAAGGGAAATGAGGTCTCTTACCTGAGGCCACCCACCAGGTCCACGGCATGACCTGGAATGTAGATCTCTCCGTGATGCCACGTCCTCGCTCTCTCTTGATTCTGATGGCTTCCTGGAGTCAAGTCCAGTTTATAAGTAGCAGGACCCCATAAATATTTTTAAATACATTCAGTTAATATATAACATACATGAAGAAACATGTACAAGTCATACGTGTATAGCTCAACGAATTCTCCCAAACCAAACACACTCCTGTGTAACCGGCAATGAGCTGAAGACACTCAACATTTCCAGCCCCTACCTCGGCCCCTAGCCCCCAAAATGTTCTCACATCCCCAAGTCAACTCCCCAAGGGTAACTACCAACCTCCCTTCCAACATGTAGATAAGTTTGTCCAGCTTTTGAACTCTGTGTAGACTCACACAGTATGTATGCTTTTACACCTGGCTATCTGGCTTCTTTTACTCAAAATTATATTTGTGCATTTCATCCAGATTTTTGTATGTATTTGTAGTTTGCTCACTTTTTTTTTTTTTTAAGACCAAGTATCGCTCTTGTCACCCAGGCTGAAGTGCGGTGGTTCGATCTCAGCTCACTGCAACCTCTGCCTCATGGGTTCAAGCGATTCTCCTGCCTCAGCCTCCTGAGCGCTGGGATTATAGGTGCCGCCACCACACCTGGCTAATTTTTGTATTTTTAGTAGAGACGGGCTTTCATGTTGGCCAGGCTGGCCTCAAACTCCTGACCTCAGGTGATCTGCCCACCTCGGCCTCCCAAAGTGGTGGGGTTACAGGAGTGAGCCACCACACCTGGCCAGTTTGTTCACTTTCATTGATGCTTAGCTTTCTACTATCTGAAGTTACCCCAATTTATTTAGCCATGCTCCCACTGGTGGGCACAGGGGTTGTTTCTAGTTGGAACTATTGCAAAGAATGCTACTATACACTTTCTTTTACAAGTCTCTTGGTGCATATACATATATATTTTTGTTGGCTTTATACCAAGAAAGTGAAATTGTTGGGTCATAGGACGTGCTGGCAAGCAGATTTCCCAAACAATTTCATCTATTAAATCTGCCACCATCATTGTACAATGTTCCTGTGACCCACATTCTCACCAACACTTAGTATTTCCTAACTTTTAAAAAGTTTAGTGGTCTAGGCTCAGTGGCTCACACCTGTAATCCCAGCACTTTGGAAGGCCAAGCTGGGCAGATCATCTGAGGTTGGAAGTTCAGACCAACCTGACCAACATGGAGAAACCCCATCTCTACTAAAAATACAAAATTAGCTGGGCGTGGTGGTGCATGCCTTAATCCTAGCTACTTGGGAAGCTGAGGCAGGAGAATCACTTGAATCCAGGAAGTGGAGATTGCGGTGAACCAAGGTCATGCCATTGCACTCCAGCCTGGGCAAAAACAGCAAAATTTCCTCTCGAAAAAAAAAAAAAAAGTTTTTAGCCATTATGGTGTGTGTCCAATGGTGTCATATTGTGATTTTCATCTGCATTTTTCTGTCAACTCCTGAAACGGAACACATACATTTATTAGTCACTTAGATATTCATTTTGGTGAACTGCCTATTCAAGTCTGTTTCCCATTTTCCTACAGGGTTGTCCACCTTTTCATGCTGATGTGGGATTCCTTTACACAGTTTACACATGCGTCATTTCTCAAGTAGGTATTTCAACTACCTTCTCCCACTTTGTTTTATACCTTTTCACTGTCTTCATGGTATCTTCAATAAACAGATGTTCTCAATTTTAAACTTTAATTTGATGTGATTAAGGATGAATGGGAAAGTAAGACCTGCTGGACTAGATGAACAATGTCAATCAATAGAATTTAATGTAATTTACGTTTATCTATTTTTAGCTTCAATAAATATTTTGGGAGTGAAGGAATGCCGCTGGGAATGGAAAAGAAAACAGAGAGCCTGTCCTATTCTTGTTACACAGGCCTAAAATGAAGAAATTCAATAGTGAATTATAAAAGTACTTCTTATGAAAGGGTTGATATTCTGCACAGAGCCAACTGCTGCCCCCATGCAAGTATTCATTCAGTCAACACATATTTTTAAGGGCCAACAGTATACCAGACTGACCCCTCAGAACTGGAGATAGGATAATAGTGAACAAGAAAACCAAGACCCGGCCAGGCGCAGTGGCTCACGCCTGTAATCCCAGCACTTTGAGAGACCGAGGTGGGTGGATCATGAAGCCAGGAGTTTGAGACCAGCCTGCCCAACATGGTGAAACCCCATCTCTACTAAAAATACAAAAAATTAGCTGGGCGTGGTGGCAGGCTGCTGTAATCCCAGCTACTCTGGAGGCTGAGGCAGAGGATCGCTTGAACCCGGGAGATGGAGGTTACAGTAAGCCGAGATTGCACCACTGCACTCCAGCCTGGGCAAGAGAGCAAGACTTCACCTCAAAACAAAACAAAACAAAACAAAAAAAGCCTGAAAGAAAAGAAAACCAAGACCCTGCTCCCAAGGAGCTTATGTGTAGTAGGAGAGAAAGACCATACATATGTGAACAAGTAGAAAAGAATTACAGAAAGGTATTGATAAGTGTCTTATTTATTTAATTTATGTATTTGGGGTCTCACTGTTGTCCAGGCTGAAATGCAGTGGAGCAATCTCAGCTCACTGCAGCCTCAACTTCCCAAGCTCAAGTGATTCTTTCACATCAGCCTCCTGAGTATCTGGGACCACAGGTATGTACCACTATGCCTGGCTAATTTTTGCTTTTTGTAGAAGCAGAGTTGCACCATGTTCTCCAGGATGGTCTCAAACTCCCGGGTTAAAACAATGCACCCACCTCAGCCTCCGAAAGCGCTGAGATTGCAGACATGAGCCACCACACCTGGACTAATTTATTTATGTTTTAGAGACAGGGTCTCGCTCTGTCACCCAGACTGGAGCAAAGTGATGGGATCGTAGCCCACTGCAGCTTTGAACTCCTGGGCTCCAGCCATCCTCCTTCCTCAGCCTCCTGAGTAGCTGAAACTACAGACACACATCATCAGGCCCAGCTTGATAAGCGCTAAAAGGAAAATTAAAAGGGTCGTCCGGATGGAGTGACTGGAGAGTGGTCAGAGAGCCCTGTCTGGGGTGATAGTTGAGCTGGGAATAATAAGAAAAAACTGGACTTGCAAAGTCCTAGGGGAAGAGGGCTCAGATAGAGGAAATGCAAAAGCCCCGAATGTTTGCAAATCAGAAAGGAAGGGGGAGTGGTTTGTGCACTCTGGGTGAGGGGAGGTGGAATGGGAGAAATGGTTGGATTGGGAACAGCCATGTCATAAGCTACAACTGTAGGGGGAGAAAACATCCGACTTTTATTTTACATAATAGCTTTTGCTACTGTGTGGAGGGTAGATTATAGTATGCTAGGGGACCTACTCAGAAGTTGTTACAATCATTTGGGAGAAGCATGGAGGTGGCTCAGGATATGGTTTTAAAGGAGGTTACAAGCAAAGACCAGAATGATTCTAAGGGCTGGAAAAAAACTGTGAAAGATCCAGACAGCCATCTCCCTGTGGTTATGCAAATCACATTCAAGCCTCCTGGAGACAGACAAAGCCAAGATGATGATGTTTCTTATTGTTGTAAAAACCTTTCCTTCTTCTGCATTTGCTGAGGAATGATTTACTTCCTATTATGTGGTCAAAACGGAGATATAGACCAGTGGAACAGAACAGGGGCCTCAGACGCAACACCGCACATCTACAATCATCTGACAAAAACAAGCGATGGAGAAAGGATTCCCTGTTTAATAAATGGTGTTGGGAAAACCGGCTAGACATATGCAGAAAGCTGAAACTGGACCATTTCCTTACACCTTATGCTAAAATTAACTCCAGATGGATTTTCTTTTAAATATTTAAATATAAGACCTAACACCATAAAACCCCTAGAAGAAAACCTAAGCAATTAAAAGGGTCCTCAGGATGGAGAGAGAGAGAGAGAGAGAGAGAGAGCAGAGTGAGACCCTTCCTCTTCTGCGTGCATTTCACATGGTGGGCTTGCATTCTTCTTTGTCCCTTGGGCAGCAGTTTCTGAGACAACAATGAGCTTTCCAATCCATAGGAACTTCACCATACATCAAGGGACTATGAATGAAGCCACGATACGCCAGGCATTCACTATGTACCAGACTTCGTGTTACTCATCTTCACCTGTGCCATCTTGGTTCAGCCTCACAAATATCCTGGAATGTAGGTGTCACTATCATCCCACATTACAAAGAAGGAAACTGAGGTTTCAAGGAGTGAGGTGACTCTTCACCTGGTCATCTTTTGGTCCTGAGAGCAAACGTTACTTCTGCAGGAAAGTCCTTCCTGGCCAACCCCAGACCGAGCTCGGGCCCTGCTCCCGTAGAAGTGCCTCCCTGACGTAACATGTAACCCCTCAGGCAAACATGCCTTTATTTGTGCCAGCATTTGATGATGTCTGTCTTCTCCCACTAGACTCTCAACTCCATGGGGTCAGGGTCTGCATGGTTCATCTTGGTATTTCCAGAGCATGAGATATAGCAGGTACCTGAAAAAAAAATTAATTGTGGAAGAAAAGTTAGTCGTAAGAAAGACGAGGAGGAAGACCACACAGAAAGAATAAGGATGGCAGATGCAGGCTTCGTGGCACCTCTTCCAGTTATGTAATTTTAGAACTGCACAGGGGAAAGTGACATCAGCTTCTGACATCCTCCCTCCAGGGGAAGTGAGGTCTTTGTGGGCTTGCCTACCTGCCAGGAGACATTCTCAGCCACATAGCTTCCTCCGATCCTGCGCTACAGGGGCCTGCTCTCTGCCACCTGTGTGCCTGCCTCTTCATCCTTAGCCCCACTTCCCTGCTGGAAGCCAGAGAAGCAATTGATCCTACAGGGCCCCCCAGTGCTGTTAGGATCCAGAGACTCCCAGAAGCCTGGCAGCTGTGTGCGTTCACATCTGGGAGCCAACAAGCCCCCCCCCACCACAAAGACTGCTTTGAGTGTAGGCTGACCTGTCAGAATGCTCAGGAGGGGGTGCCCTTCCCCAGGGGGCAAGGAGTAGAGAGTAGACAATCACCCATGATTGTCTGGTGAGGTTGGGAGCCCGCATGCCTCCCTCCAAGAGAAAATCAGTTAACGAAAGGTACAATGAAACAGACAGTGACCAACCTGGAATTCCAAAGACCAGGGAATAAGGTTTACCCTGACCTCTAATGTGCTGCGTGACTTTGGGCTACTCACTTGACCTTTCTGAATCTGGGCAATAATGGTAAATCCAAGAAATAAGAGTCCTTCTCAAAACTGTTGGACACATTAAATGAGATATCTCATATAAAGGGCTTAGCACAGTTGCTAGTACATAGTAACGCTCAATAAACTGTAGCTATTACTTTATAAACATTGTTATGTATGGCTCTTAGAGCTGTCATTAGGATTAAGTGGGATAATGTAGGTAAAGCTTCTAGATAGGGTCTAGCACAGAATAGTTGCTCAATAACATTTCCCATTCCAAATTTGGAGTGCCAATAATTAGAGAGGACCAATGTCTACCCACCATATGGTAGGTAGCCTTCAAAGCATTCCCAATGTTTGGTTGGATGGATGGACGGATGGGTGCATGGATAGATTGATAGGTGGATAAGGAAATCTTAGGTAAAAGGATGTACATCATAGTGACATCATGAATACACGGTTCCCAGTCTTGGTAAGGTAGCAGATATGGACTTCTGGTTGCAAAATGTTGGGTACCATGGCTGCTAGGGGAGATAGCTTGAGACCAGATGTACCGTATCTCATCACATCATCAACTTCAGTGATGCTTACAGCAGATCCTGCTGCCCTTCCCAGCATGCTTTGGACTATCCTCCTTTGGAAATCCCCATTGGTCCATGTTGGTCCTGATGCAGCTATTATCTGAAATTAAACATCCTCCCTCCAGGCAGAATCCTAGAACACTGGGGCTTAAAAAAGGATTGCAGAGATTCTGGAATCCAACTGATTCATTTAACAACAGTAGCTGCTACAACTATTTACAGAGTTATTCCAACTTCTAGGCACTGTGTTAATTATTTTATATGTGTAATTGCATTCAATCTCACAGCATTCCAAGGAGCAAAGCATATTCTATATATAATACACACCCATATATTCCATATATAATTCTCAATTAAACGTACTACGTACTTTTAAATTATTTTTCAGAATGACACAACGCTCTCATGAATGCCAGAATGTAAGCAGCTTTTTATTCTAGACTTCCTGATTATCTCACACTCTTTCTTCCCCCAGTACTCTACTTTGCTAGTACCCTAAACATGTGCTTAGCCCTTCTTTAAGGTAATTTAGCACTGCCTAAAGACAGAGAATATCACCGTCAGTTAACAGATGAGGGTACGTGAGTACGGATTGGTAAGGTGGAAAGGTTCAGGAAAGCCGTGCAGTTAGCAAGCGGTAGAACCAAGACTCCAAGTCCATCTGATTCCAAAACTCCCTCCTCCTCGTCAATGAAACTTCCATCCTAGATGGGGAAATCAGGAAGCAGCAAAGGGGGGCTTTGAGGTTCAGAGCCCAGGTTGGAATGGCTGGTCTTTCTTTTTTCCACCAGCCAAATTTCAGAGCGTTCTTTTCAAAAATTCACTTGGACTCCTCTCTCCCTGGTGTGACACTTCTCTCTCCAGCCACAGAGGAGCCCTGGGTTCACTTTGTGGCCATCAGCGATATAAAATGGGTGAAACTATTTTAGTTAGATTTTCTCCTCTTGATGGGTGAGAATTTTCCAGGCCTGGGCACCTTGGAAATCTCCCAACGTCAGCCACCATCAGTTGTAACTGGCACCCCTGCTAATAAATTGAGAATGTCACATCTCCCAAACTGCATTATTACCGTTTATAATTTTGATTGTTCATTTGCATACGAAAATTAGTCCTGTGACATGCGTGGATTTTATTTTATTCTTGAACTAATTATAAACAAGAATGCCACATTATTTACATAACTAATTATTGTTCCTTATGTTCCCCTGTTTTTAAATGGGGAACCCATTCTTCGTTGGTTAACTATGGAGATGAAAAATCCAAGAACATTTCTAAAGTTTAGGAACTTGTTCTATTTGCATCAAATACAAATTCCTTTGAATGAGAGATAATATGCTTTCCATTTTAATAGGCCTAAATTAGGTTGATCTTAATTTATAGTTAATTTGAATGAATAATTCCTGTCTACCTGAGTCTGTTTTTTCAGCAACTCATTGTAAATGTTTATTGACCCATAAATCTGCTGCCTTCCTTTAGGAGATTTTAAGCCACCCCCCAAACTGGAGGGAGTTTGCAGAGAGAAAAAAAAAAGGCACAAAAGCAGTTAAGAAATTCTGGAATAAGTCCCTAACTCTGTAAGTCATATGCTGTTTGCCTTTGGGTAAATACCTAACCCTCTCTGAGCCTCAGGTTTCTCAGTTGCTAAACGACTGGGTTGAATTAAATAGTACCCAAGATTCCCTAATATTCTGGGGGAGAGGGAGAGGTCTATGTGTCTTCTTTATCTTGCCTTGCACTGTATCTCCTTCCAAATTTCTCTTCCTTCTCAAAATTCGACTCTTCCTTTGCTTAAGATCTTAAATGTGTCTCCACTCATGGGAAACTGCTTTATTTCCTTGGCCACTACAAAAGAGGCAAAAATAGACCCTGCTAAAGAGAGAACCAAAAGGGCTACCAAGCTAATGGTGGTACTCCAGGCAGTGCTTAACCCCTGGGAGGACGTGAGTTCGGCAGACAGTGTCCATCAGGCACACCACGAAGGCATAAACCACATGCTGCGTCTACAGGGAAAAGAACTTGGAAGCCCCAAAGACCTGGATTTTAACCCCAGTGTTGTCAATTCCTCTAAAAAATACTTTAACCTGTCCGAGACAGTGTGTCAGCTAAGAATAGCAATCCTACCTACTTCCTGGGAGACCATTGTGTTGGTTAAGGGAGATAAGAATGTGAAAACTGCCTGTGATATAGCTGGTGCTTGAATGCTAAATCCTCCCCTTTCCTGCTCATACGTTGGCCTCTGGCAGTGAGGAAGAAAGGGACAATGATGGTAACTAACGTTTATTGAGTGCCTACTAGGTGCCACTACTTCAGATGTCAGCCTAAGAGTGACGCTTCAGGAAAGAATGATCTAACTTCCCTTATGAGGTTAAATTCATCATTGGAAACTGTCAGAGAACGACAGGCACCCCCTCTCCACTGCAGCAATTACAGCTCAATTCCACTTTTCTTTATATGATGTCTATCTATACCATCACCCCCACCATCCTGCTTCCAGTAGAAGTAAGAATCATGTCTATTTTTGTCTCCATTATATTCCTCAAGTCCTGGCCAGCCCTCAATATTTGAGGACATAGAGGCTAAGCACGTGTTCTGGATTGCCTTACTTCATCTTCACAAAATGGGGTCTGCTGCTGTAATGCCCATTTTACAGATGAGGAAACTGAGTCTCAGATAGTCCAGCTGAGACCAGAAGGACCACCCAGCCTGGCCCAGCTTACCTGAGCCATAAACATTTACTGCCATACACAGCTGAAGTGTGTGGTGGTTTCACAGCATTATCGTGTCAATAATGGACACGTGTTTGTATATGATTCCGCACTTCACCAAGCAACTTCTCATTCACTGATTCTTCTGAGCCTCTTATTGATTAAGGCAGAGGCAGGAACTGCATTCTTGTCATCCTGGCCTGGGAAGGGCTTTGCATTTGTACAATTATTCTTCTGCTAAATTGATATATTAATCTGTTCAAACAATTGTTTCTGTAATTAAATGAGAGAGCACTGAAGAGAACCTACAAAAAGGTCTAATTTAGCTCTGTAAGCTGGAATCTGGTGACCTCTCACCCAGGCTGTGCAGTGATCAGACAGTGGGAATATGGCCATTAATTGGGTGTTTTAGGTACAGACACAGTTGTCCAAGTAATCATAGAGCTAACCGGCCCCAACGCTGCCAATGAACTGTGGTCTGCGGCTTTGTTAATGACACATCCTTTATTTTTCTCAGTCTCATTATCTGTTTATTATTCAAAGAGGTTTGGAGTTAGAAGGACCTTAATTGGAATGAGCAGCAAATCTCACTAGTGCAGACAACCTTTCTAGGGCATCCCTGAGAGATGAGTGCCCTCCAAGCTTCTCAAGAATGTCCATCAATATGGAGCTCGCCAACTTAAAAGGAAATGCTACCAAAAAGCAAAGCCTTGTGAAATACCCACGTGAGGAACTAAGCTCATTGGATTTTGGGTGTTGATTGACCATTGCCCATTTTTCCCAGCATAGGTCAGCTAAGGGCATGTGGGCGGGGCTTACATATCTCTGTCCATGGTCCTCCAAAACAAAGGAGGATAAGGAAGAGAAGAAGGTAGAGGAAGAGGAGAGAGGGAGAGAGAGAGAGAGAGAGAGAGAGAGAGAGAGAGAGAGAGAAGGACTGACTATTGGAGACATACTATTGTTCTGACATGGTTTTCAAGTAATTGCAGTTACCAAGAAAGAAAATTGTTTTCCTTTGGAAAGTCAAGAGAGCAT